CAGCGAAGTATGAAAGCCATTACCAGCAAACTCAGCTGCGCTGGTCACTGCCGTCTTCCTGGATGGGGACCCCGAGACGGGCCACATCAATGGCTAGAGACATTATCGGACATGGCCCAGTCGCGCCCTCAATGGCGCTCATGCATCCAAGCTATTGCCTTCAATGCATAGCTCCTTTTCCACCCCCCACTTGACAGCCCACTGACAGTGCTGGATTTATGCATCAATGTATCAGCTCCCGCCTGCAATGCGCAGCTACCTCCCCCTCCCCCCACATAATCGGTGAACGAAACTGTGGCAGCTACAACCACAGTACGACGAGTACGCGGTTATTGCAGCTGACAATGATGATGATGATGATCTGGTTTGTTGACCAAAAGATTTCTTCCCCTCAGTAAATAAGTTTAATTTTTTGTTCATAAGTCTGGAATTAAGATATGCGATAAAATATGTTGCGTGCTCTTTGAACGCCTCACAGGCACTCCAGATGCCTCCTACGAAATGAGTTACAGTGGGACGCCAAAAGTTGCCCTGTTCGCTCATGCGCTTTTTTACGGACCTTGTGACTTGTTTTTGTTTTTCACTCTTATTCTAAGGTTTACGTGTGGTTGGATGCACTTGTGAATTACTTAACTGTTACGCGGTTCCAATGGGCCAGTAAGAAACACACCAGTGACATACCATGGCCCCCGGATTTTCAATTCTTCGGAAAGGATATTTTGAAGTGAGTACACCATCATTTGAGCGATTTTTTCACATTTCGCAATTTATTCACCCTTATTTGGTCACGTTACGCAGGTCTAAAGTCACAGTGAGTTCGTGTTTCATACCGATTGTGTGGTCATCTTAGTTGTAACTCCAATGAGGTGTAACGGACCAATTTGGTCCCTATTCGCATCGAACAACTGGCCCATTTCAGTATAGGCTGTTCCTGTGGTCAGTGCATCGAAACACGCGTTGAAATGCCTTCCCTTTTAAAATTCGTGTACCGATTGCTCTATAGCAGTAACGATTTTTTTTAAACTTCAACTTATTTTTCACTAGTGTCACGTGAAACTTCCTTCCGATTATACCAGTCTTTAAAGCTCAATGCACTTAACGGGTTTGTGTTTCATCACGTTTACGGTAAACCGCTAGCTTATCACTGATAAATGTTCTACACGGTACTGCCATTTGGGCTGATACCACCTGACCAGTCAGCTGTTCAACTACTGGCGCTTGACAAGGCAAAAAACGAGAAAACTGGTTTGGTGAGACCCGGTATTCCGTTATTTCGAACCAAACAGTTTTTGGTTTGTTCGTGTGCCAGGGAAACCAGCACCGATTCAGGTTGCACGAAGAGACTGGACCTTACCGTGGTAGGTTGCACGGACTGGACCTTACCGTGGTGTGACGGTTTGCGCACCTCAGCGACCCATTGAGCTATACTGAAGAATGTCGCGCGACACTCACTCACTCTCATACCAGGTTGGTCAATGGTTAGAGGTCTGACGAACACAGTCTCCTGGCCCTCCAGGTTGGGGGTTGGAACATGTGGCGACTTGTTCCGTA